ATCAAAGATTGTTTCAATTCTAAGAACCATCACAATTTATCTGAGATTTCTTTATTATCACGTCAAATGTGATAAATCTTTTTCTCATTCTTAGCTATATTAAAATAACTTCTTTGCATATTATATCTTCAATATCGTAGATATCTAAAATTTTCTTTTTTTATTTACAAAGAAAAAAAAAGACGAATTTATTTTGACATAAATATAGATGTAAAAAAATTAAATTTAAATTAAAAAATTTTTTCACTTTTAACGTTGAAACATAATATAAAAATAAACATGATTTTTAAACTATAATCATAAGGTAAATCAGTTACAATGACTGAATCAATAAAATGTATGATCAGCATTATATTATCTATTAATAATTAATCACATTATTAAATTTATATAAATAGAAAATTTGTCTTATAGATGATTGGGAAATTTAAATAAAGTTTGAATGAAATATATATTATACTAATTGTACCAATAAATGAAATTAAAAAATGATTCATATTCTAATAGACAAAAAATATAAACCCAATGATTGAATGCTTATTAAATAATATTGTAAAAAGACGTAAAAATTTTTTTAAATAAAATATTTAAAAATTTTAGGAATAATATTTAGTAATGAAATTTAATTATGATAAAAAAATGTTTATTCTTATTTTGTTTCATTAAAACTATACATAAAAATTACATATGTACTGTTAAAACGCTATAATAATAATATAATAATAAAATGTATATGTTACATATAAAATACATACATATATTAAATTGTTACATATAATATTACATACATATAATTTAATTGATGTGACAAAAGTTTAGAAGAAAATAAATATAATAAAATATAATAGAATATAAATAGAATTATATCTAATTTTTCGTATTTCTGTGTTTTTCTTTTTAACTTTTCTTGTTTTACTTTTTTTCTACTTTTATACTTCTCTTCGATCTTTTCTCTTATGCTAAATTTTTTTTGTCTGTTATCCAATTCTTTTTATTTTAGCTGGATTCCTTGTATTAAAAGAAATACAAAGGCGGATTGTATCGAAAAAAGTCACCAGAATTTATTGCTAATTTAATTATTGTAATATAGTGTTAAAATATTTTAAGAATTCTTAAACTTAAAGTTCCTAAAATAAGGATTATATTAAAATGAAGTTTCTTTAAATGGAAGGCTCTAAGATAAAAGAAAATTAAATATTGTTTTGACAATTATTAATTAAGATAATGAAAAAAATATCTTTAAAAATTTTCATATTTTCATTGAAATAATGAAATTGTTTCAGTAATACAATAACATTTTGTTTAAATTAAAAGTGAGACTAACTTTTTTTCAACAAAAGATGTTTTGTTTCATGTAAAAATATTTATTATCTGAAAAATGAAATAATTATATTTTTATTTCAAACAATTTAGTTGGATTATTCCAATAAATAAATTTCTTTCGATTTCAACAAATTTATAACATTTAAAAAAGATATTTCTTTCTGTGTATAATTTTGTATAAGTAGATGTTTGTATAAAAGTATAACCATTTCTATTTGATCACAAATAAACAATTTTTTATACATTTTTTTATATGGGACATAAAAATATCGTCTCGATTCCCTTATCATTATATTCAGTTTTTTTTTCTCTTAAGTAATATCCTTCTTCTATTGTTCTAAGTTCTAAGTTCAAGTTTTATTTCCATTCTTGTTAAAATCGAAGATTTAGTATTTAGTATTTATCGGCATAAAAAAGTTCCGGATTTTCCAGTTTCAATCAGTGTTCCTAAAAAGAAGAAAAAAATATAAATTTATCATATATCATGTACCAGTAAAGCACATTTGGATAGCAAAATTGCTGTAAAAACAGGCGCAAATATTGGAATCGACAAGAAGGCTGCTAAAGGTTTTTACAAAAAAGGTAAAAGAAGAAAAGACGAATGATGACGTTGACTTTCAATAAAATTCTTTTTGTAAAAATTTGAAATTCCAGTCTTTTTCCTTTTTCTTTCGTAAAACTTTTTGAGTTTTACATTATATTCCTTAATATGCCAATGTTATAACATCGATTTTTTTAGTTTTAATTTGGAATTATTTTTCAGAAAATCAATAAAATATTTTTTTATAAAGAGTTCTACAATATTTAGTTGAGATATTATTTCCAAAAAGCAGAAGTTAAAATAATGTGATAATAGATGGCATCGGTCAACAGACAGAATTTTAGATATTTCATAATTTTCCATTTTTTAAAATTAAATTTTGTATAAAGAGAAAGAAAAAATAGGGATATGATCGATTTTTGGATTTAATTATTGGTATAAGAATACAGCTTTGCTACGTTGAAAATCTGTTAATAGCAATGAAATAGAATGAATTGCTTACTACATATAATTACTACATATAATGACATGTAATTCATGATATTAAATAATTATTCCGAATTTATAGATATAAATTCAAGTAAGAAAAATGAAAAATTATAAGACATTTAAAATCCTATCTGTCGAGCGATGCTATTATTCCATTGTTTGAAATTTATTTCGATTTATTACACTGATTATTTAAAATAATGTCTTTAATTTTTTTCTTTATACTCTTGTGATTATTTTAATAAAATTATTTCTAATACTGTTTCATTAAGACATTGCAAATGAAGATTAAATTTGACTCGGCCGATTATTCCATTGAAATTAATCAATTTGTCGTTAACAGAAGGAACAAATGCGATTGGTCAATTCCAATGTGATAATCGGCTGATTAGGTTAAATAGGATTGGTGAGACCGGCTCTTTATTCCATTGGAATTGACCAATCGTATTATTACATTTGTAGATAAATTGCGATTGGTCAATTCCAATGGAATAATCGACCGGTTAAATCGAAGTTGACGAAAGTGGTCCTAAATGGGAAACATCCATTGATTTGCTGTCATATTTTCTAGTTTGCAATAATTAAATGAATTGTGAATTTACAAGGCTTCTTATGTATCTTAGGGATTATGTATATAGGGAATAGAGAATAAGTAATCGAAAGTAAGAAATATTTAATCAAGCTCTGATACAAAACGGAAATTTGTATAAAATACTGGTGTCTAGGTTAACTAACTTCTTATAATAAATACGAAGTGACAGAATGAATTGCTTACTACATATAATTTTATTCTCTTTCTTTGCGGTAAGTAACAAAAAATATGACTTTATAGTTATAACAAATCAAATATATTTGAATTTTTTTTTTAAACTAAATT